TAGATAATGGAACACATGAAAGACAAATTCATACAAGATAAAACGTTCAGTGTAACTCAAAATCAAACTACAAACTCCAGAACAACAAAAAGTTAAGGAGGAGAAAACATCTATACAAAATCATATCATAAACAAAATTTGAAATTTCTGCATTTGCTAAGGTCCCATCAGCCCATGAGCTTTTGGTTGTTGAAAACATGAAGCAAATGCTGAACATTTGATCAATCATTGTAATTTGTTTCTTAGTTTCACAGTTTCTTTCCGATGTAACCTCCCACAAAATTGAAGAAAGCATGTCTCCATTTATTCTTAAGCACCAAAATTCCCAAAATACCCATAAACCCCGTTGTGAAACCGCTCGTTACACCGTAAATCCACATCATATCAAAACCATCATCGTCTTCATCTTCCTCGGTGTTTCTTCCAACTTCCAGGACTTGATCATGTTTGCAACTGGTAGGTAGCGGACTACCACAAAGCTGGTTATTGCCGCCGGTGTATATGGATGGATCAATGAGTGTCTGGAGCTGACTTCCTGTTGGAATTCTCCCTGATAACTTGTTGTGTGACAAATTCAGTTGGCTAAGAGATGTCAATGCAGACATACTCTGTGGGATCATCCCTGAAAGACTGTTGACAGAAAGATCAAGAGAAAATAGTGATTTCATATCACCGATTCTATCTGGAATGCGACCTGTGAGGTGATTGTTTGAGAGGTTAAGACCAACCAATCCTGCAAGAAGTACCAATTCCTTGGGTATTTCCCCTACCAGTTTATTGCTTGAAAGGTCCATATTCACGATGTATTTTATCTTCGTTGTATACTCGAGTGCAACTCCTTTCATTACCTGAGTCAAACTCTGCTCGAATCTGCCTAAAAAATCCATATCGGAGTAGCCTCCGGTCATTCCTCTCAACTTCTGGAAACAGAGAGGGACTGTTCCTGTTAAGTTGTTGTCTCCAAGATCCATGATTTGAAGTTCGCTGCTTTCACACAGCTCTACAGGAATTGGACCTGTGAAGTTGTTTTTATGTAGCCTGAGAACTCTCATAAACATGACCTTTTCACCTAACCATTTTGGAATGCTTCCAGAGAATTGGTTTTCACCCAAATCCAACAGATCCAAACCTGTGCAATTTGCTAGAGTTTCTGGAAGTTCGCCATGGAAGCTATTGTTGTTTAGTTGTAACCAATTTAGTGAAGAACCAAGATTGCCTAAAGAGCTTGGAATGACACCCGATAACCGGTTGGAGCTTAATACGATACAATTCAGTTCAGGGAGATCTCCGATACAATCAGGAAGGGTCCCAGATAGCATATTTTTAGAAAAATCTAGAACATAGATCTTTGTAGCATAACACAATGACTCAGGAATCGATCCGTTGAAGAGGTTGTTCCTAAGAACCAACAATGAGGATCCTCTCCCATAACCTACTAAGCGTTCGGTAAAGGGAAAAATCGTGAAGGACTCGGTTGTTTGGTTGGATGGAAGGTTTGTCAATGGACCTTTGAGAAAGTTGTGGGAGAGATCAAGGATCATGATGATAGGGAGGTCGCGAAGCCAAACTGGAAGAGGTCCAAAAATGCTAGTATTAGAAAGGTTTAGAATCACAAGACTCCGTTGCATTCGAATCCATGGTGGAAATTCTGATTCGATTTTGGAAGATTCGAGTAGAATGTTTCTTATTTGGAAAGGAGGGTTCCAATCAGGTGAAATCGTGAAGCTCAACATGTGGTTCCACCTTGCATCCAAGTGTTTTAACATTGATGTGTTGGCGAAATGGGCTTCGGTGATTACACCCGATAAAGAAGTGTTGGATATATCGAGAAATTCAAGTTTAGAAAGCTGTCCGATGGTATCCGGAAGAGGGATTTGTAATAAGTTTTTTGATAAATCGAGAAACTGGAGTTGTGAGAGGTTTCCTATCGATAACGGAATCTCAGACAATGAATTGGAGTTGAGATACAAGATTTCTAGATTCGATAGTCGTCCAAGGGAGAATGGAATCGGACCGTTTAACAGGTTCAGAGATAAATCTAGTTTCCGAAGCATCACCAGGTTTCCAAAAGACGTTGGAATCGAACCTGTCAATTGGTTTCCAGAAAGATCTAATTCCTGCAAACTCGACAGATTTCCAATTCCATGAGGAACAATGCCAGAAAATCCCGCGAAATAAAGATATAGAAATCTGAGTTGTGTCATCGACCCGATGAAGTCCGGAATCGGGATGCTGCGAAAAAGGATCCCACTCAAATCCATGTAACTCAAATGAGTCAACTCGACCAAATACGAATCCAACTCGTTTCCCTCTAATTGTGTGTAAGTACCTGAAATATTGCTTCCGAGATCAAGCATGTTAACATGTCCGGTTGCATTATCGCATCCGATGCCTTGCCACTCACAACACTTGTTTCCTTTCCATGATGATAGTCTACCAGAAGGTTTCGGTGCAAGGCTATGTTTGAATTGGAGAAGAGCTTGCCTCTCTTCTTCCAAACAACCCAAACAGAAGTTTGTGGTTGCAAAAATTAAGAGAAATAATAACCATAGCTTCCCCATGACTATGACTGTAGTTTCTTCAAGAACAGCTACCTCATTGACGAGGTCAAGAATTATAGATATAAATACTCTTTTTTTCAATACACTGAATATATAATATTTAAAATTTGCTTTTGTCTAAAGTATCCACTATCCACCAAACATTACCGCGTAAAAAAACATCTTTTTAAGAAATATATATATATACTTTACATGCCTATAAGGTATGCACAACATGTTTGTTTTTTTAAATATATACTTATATTAAATTTCGGTTTATGCTGCGTCATTTTAACACCAATATTTTTATACTAAATAATTAGATTTACCTAATAATTAAATTCAACTAAACAATATTATTTTACTAGATTTAAAGACAAATTATGCTTTATACCTTCTAGAAAGTTTATATTTGGGAGACGAATTATGCTTTATACCTTCTAGAAAGTTAATATTTGGGTTTTAGTTAAGGTGGTTGTTATTGGCCGAAATATACATGCCATATATTTCAGATTTCTATATTGTATACTATGTAATTATTGTGCATGATCTGTACCATATTTAGCTCTATAGTTTGTTAGGCTTTCCCCTTTCTCTCTCTATAATTCTCTGAATATATTAAGTGGAATATCAATGAGATGAGCATTCGAATCTCAAACAATTACATGGTATTAGAGCCAAGGGCTCATTACCGATTTTATTCTCCTTCCACAGCCATGGCCGTGCCATTTTCTTGTCCATTTCTTTTTTAGTCTTGTCCGCCATCTCCTAGTATTCCAAGATGTCCGACAAATCTTAACCCAACCCCATCAAATCAATCCACCCAGCTTACACTGTAACGAACATACAGAACAAGGTACGGATTCTAGATGGCACTAAGGTCACGTACTCTTCATGGGTAAGACTGTTCACACTTCACACTAAAGGTTACAAAGTCCTCTCCCACATCGATGGTACAAATCCTCCGGCTAAGACATATCCAGCCTACGAAGCCTGATCAGAAATCGATGCTATCATCCTACAGTGGATCTATGGGACAATTTCTATTTCTGATGACCTTCTCGCTCGAATACTTGAACCAGACACCACTGCATACGAAACTTGGTCCAAAGTTCAAAACATCTTCCTCAACAATAAGGGCTCTCGGGCTGCAACCCTAGAGCACGAGTTCAACAACGTGACACGCTGAGCCATGACATCCCTTGAAGCATATTTGCCAACGCCTCAAAGACCTGTCTAGTCAACTTAACGATGTGGAATGCCTAGTCAGCGAGAATCGTCTCGTTGTACAACTGGGTCGTGGTCTAACCTTCGAATTCGACACCGTGGCCGCCTACATCAACCAACCTTACTTACATGGGATACCGCCTGCTTCATGCTACAACTTGAGAACCAGCGCCAAAGTGCCCAGGACAACCACTCGCCTACGGAGGTTGTTGCCATCGTTATCATGAACCACCGTCCAACTCTATGCCATGATGTGATTCTGTTAACAAGAGTCGCCAATCTCATCCACGTAACACTAGTCGACGATTTTCTCCATCTGGTTCTCAAAACAGGCAGAAATCAGCCCACTCATTGCGGTCCTTCGTCTGGTCAAAAATCGACAGCCCCTCTCGTATTTGAACAATCGGTGCACTCATCCGGTCAAAATTGACCCCCATGGTCCAATTTCCCATCACCTTTTTGGGCTACTCCTTGGTGGGCTTCCCCACCACCTTGCCCATATCCTACTTAACCAGGATGGGCCACACCTTGGGCCATTCCTACCTAACTGATCGACAACAACGGACCTTCCTCACAGATGTTACTTGGTGCAACTTTCTCTACCATGACTCTTGACCCCAACGACAACCAGTGGTATATGGACCGAGGAGCTACCACTCACCTTATTGCGGACGCAAGTAAAATTTCTACTCCCTGTATGTCTTCTATTAAGTCTGTGTTTATTGGAAATGGTAATCAAGGATCAGGTCACACCACATTACCTCACCCATCCAAACCTATACACCTAAAAGACATACTTCACACTCCAAATGTTCTCAAAAACCTTGTATCCGTATGTATGTTTTGTCGAGATAATATTGTATCCGTTGAATTTGATCTATATGGTTTTTCTGTAAAGGATTACAAGATTGGGAAGCATCTGACGAGACATAATAGCTTCGGTGACCTCTACCACTTCACTAATCAAAGAAATTAAGAAAAAAAAAACATAATTTTCGAAAAAAAAAGAAACAGATTTTCCAGCAATATAAACAAATTCCAGAAAAAAAAACAGATTTTTTGAAGAAAAAAAACTGGTTTTTCTTTAAAACAAAAATTTTCTGTAAAAAAACTGATTTATTTGTAAAACATAGAAAACATGTAAAAAAAGACTTACATGTTGAAAAACACTTCAATTTCTTTCACAACTTATAGCACTACAAGTGAGACTAAGAACCTTTATAGCAAATTTTTTTAGATTAGGAGTTGAAGATCCACATGCTCCCACCAATCAACTATAAAAAAAAACATAAAGTCAAAGACTATAAATTAGAATTTAGAAGAAAAAAAATTAAGTAGGAATTTACATGGTCATTTTGTTTCCCGATGTCTAACAGCCATAGGATTACCAAATAGTCTTTGTGCATTCTGATATTTATCCAATTCCTTTGAAATCTTGTCTTGATCTTGTTGCTCGGGAACAAGCCTCATAATGCAATCATACAAACCTTTTTCTACTTCTTCACAAGCTACCCCACTTACATCTTTATAAAAAGTTGTGTTGTAGTCATCCGGTTTCGAAAAGCTATCATGAATGGCCTCCTTATCCATATCCATGGCCTCATAAATGCAGCCCATGGCCGAATATTTTTCTCCATCAACAATCCTAAGAACCTTAACTAGGGGACTCGTTAACTTAAGAGCATAATGTACATTTCTCCAAAATGTTTATTGCATAAAGTAGCCTTTAACTTTTATCCCCTTCCCGTCTGAAGACCACCTAGATGTTTCCTACTCTTTAGAAATCACCATATTCCTCAAATTGGTTCTCTGTTTGTGGATTAGTGCAAGAGTGATGAATGATGTTGCAAATCTTGTGATAGCCGGCCTATGTAAGTTTCTTTGGTTTGTGAACTTTCTCATCATGTTCACAAGAGGCAGATGGTTATATATATATATATATATATATATATATATATATATATATATAATTGCTAGAATTGACTTCTTTAATGCACTTTTCACTCTTGGAACTTGTTTGCCAATATCTGCCAACATCAAATCTAGGCAATGTGCAGCACATGGTGTCCAATAGAGATTTGGTCTTGCAGCTTCCAACAACTTCCCTACAAAGTTTATAGATAAAAAGTAGATGCCATTAGACAAGATATTAACATTCATAAAAGATAAAAGACTAAGGTTAAAAGTTAAAAATCTTACTCGCCTTCTCATAAGCTGATGCATTCATTATCGGTCACCACTTGTACCACATTTTTTTCACCAACTTCCTCTACCATTTTATCAAGAACACGGAACAACAAATCTGCATCTTTTGAAACATCGAAAAATCAAGTGACCTCTTCAATACCGAACCCTTTTGGGAGCTCACATGAAGTTGATGATGTCTTTTTGCACCACGGATCCATCCGATAACATGGATCAACCTTTTTCAGCCCATTCTTCTTCATGCTCCAACAGCTGTTTTTGAACATCTTTTACTTCGTTATTTAGTATAGGCACTCTTAACTCGTAGATAGACTGCGGTTTCAACCCGGAACCAAACTGTCCAATAGCTTCAATCATAATTTTGAAGCTATCATATGTCGCAACATTGAAAGGAATGCCCCCATCGAAAAACCATCTCCCAATGTGACAACAAACTTTATCCCTAAGGTCCTTTCGACAAACTTCGTTGATGATTTATTTCCCATCCTTCTTACCTTTCATTGCGTCTTGCGGGTTAGGAGGATAATACATGTTTTTTATCTTGGTTTTTTGGGAGGGGGCATGTTGCTACTACCGCCTACCTCAATATCTTCCTCTTTATTTTCAACGCCCTCGTACCCATAAGCTTGTTGACTTGCTTCCATTTGTTGTTGTGCCTTTAATGATTGCTTCTTTTCTATGAATGCCCTACATTCTTCTCGTACATGCTCGGGAAAATTTGGGCATTTCTTTGCGTCTTTATGACCACCAACCAAGTGTTGTTTGAGGAGGTATACTCCTCCTTTCAGAACTTGTCAACAAAAAGAGTAAGAAAAGTTGTTTTTATTACTTGGATCTTGTTTACCATATCTCCTACCTGGTCATCTGAAGTTGAACCCATTCTGTAAACAGTAACAAAACCGATGTTAATTAACAATTTAACACTTTAACAACATTACAACATAAGTTCATAATAGTTAGAGATAAAGTATAACATAACTGTTCAACAACACAAATTACAACATAACATAACTACAATACTCCATAAGTGTAACAACATGAATCAATGAACAACTGAACATTCAAACAAGTGATTACGTGAACAACAGTAAAAAAAGAGTATAGTAGATTGATAGTATACTAGTAAATAGTAATCTAGTATTAAATATTAATACATTACAGGGGGAAATTATAGAATACAGATTACATAGTTTTTTTTATTTATTTATTTAAACCTAATGGCCCGCCATCTAATTAAAAGCACGTAATTCATCAAGGCACGCTTAAGCGCCGCTTACCGTGTCACCGAAAAACGCCAAAAGCGGTCCGAGTCGAGTGAGTTAAGGAACGCATCACATTATAGGGTCTGAAGCTCTTAGGCTAATCGCATTGGCGCCTAACACTTAAAGCACGCTTACTCAGCGCTTTTCTAAACCAAGTGTGGGATACACAAATTTGATTTTTTTTTATTTTTTTGTTATTATTTTTTTATTTTTTTGAGAAAAATGAACGGCTTGTGTGTCGGGTCCTGATTCTCTATGGCAAAAAAAAAAAGGCCATGTGTTTTGATGTACCACAGTGCCATTTGGTCTTGTGATTATTAAACACGATATCGACACTCACATAACCCTCGTGATGATTCCTAAACCCTAATAATAAACTTTCGATTTTCTTTCAATCTCTTTAATCAATCCGAGATTAAAGCACCACAGTATGCAATTTTTTCATCCTAACTTCACCTCCTTCATCATCTAGGTCGAATTCTTCCCATGAAGGTGTAAAAATTGGATCTTGCATAAAACCCTAGTTTTTGATTTGTAAATTTTTATTTGATTCTTGTATTATATTTCAAAATTCTTGTGTAGGGAGCAAGCTTGGGGAGGTGTTTTGGAAGAAAGATTGAAAGCTTTCATCTGTAATTGTGCATTCCACCATTGATGAGTTCAAACTCTTCTTGAGGTTGAAGATGAAGTGAAAAAGTCAAGAACACATCACCAATTCAAGCATTTGACTGGTACATTCCTTCCATATCTCAAGTTTAATGCATGAATTTTAAGATAGTTTGATTAGAATTGTTGAAAATTCGTTCATGTGCTTCATATAGTTATACATTCCTATCTCAATAGTTATGCTTTCGCTTTTGGTCATACTTTGCCTAGTTGTGCTTTAGCTTTTGATCATACTTTGCCTGTCATATACATTTGGCTTGTTAGCACCATGACAAAACACAAGAATCCAAAGCCAATGGAGGAATGGGAATCCAAGTATGGTGTCACCACCATTGTGCATCGTTCTCTGGAGGAGCGTGACCGTTACCGTCACCTAAAGGGTCGTGAATACTCTTAACAACGGTTTGTACACATTCCCACTCTCCAAGAAATAGGAGTTTATGATGGTGTCTTTCGGCTATTTAGCAATATCGGGTGGGAGAGTATCCTAACTTTAACACCTATGGATTCATTCAAAAACACAACTCTTGAATTCTTACAATCTTTGCATTTCAATGATGATTCCAAAAGACTCTCATTCCGCCTCATGCAATTGCAATTTTTTCCGAGGCTAGACGATCTTAGTGGGTTTGTAGGGATCTCTACGGACTATACTTATGGTCCTCATTTAGGATTTAAGCGAGAAAAAAATACCCTCTTCAAAGCTAAGGACTTTTGGATGAAAATCACGGGGTTGGATTCTTACGAGGCTCGATCCGCCAAAGCTTCTCAAATCATTCATCCGGTCTTAAGGGTGGCCCTCCGAATTATCTCTAATGTTGTCTTCCCCCAAGAAGATACAAGCAAAACTAGTAAAATGGAGCTAGAAATTCTTTGGTGCATGGTCACTGGCCTTAAAAGACCACATTTTGGCGCCTTTCTTGCCTCCAAACTTGTCAAGATTTCCACTAGTGATTCCGGCCCCATTCATTGTGGCGGGATAGTCACTTATCTCGCCACTCGCCTTGCTTGTGCCGAACTTTTTGAGGAGAAACGCCCTGATCTCGAGAAAATCACACAAGGCTCCGATGCCCTCACGTCTAATGTCCTTGAAACCTCATCTTTCTTCCGCAAAGAGAGTGAAGGTAGTCTTACATGGTTGGTGCAGAAAAAACCTCATTTCCGAGTTCCTGCTGGGGATTTCAGTTCCCTCCAACTCCAACAGGACATCACTCAGACACGGTGGTTATTGCTAAATAACATTTCTGCTAAGCCCATCTCGCGATCTCCTAAGCGGATAATCGTCGACCACGAAGACGAAACCAGTGCTACTCCTTTTGTCCCCCTCGCTCACTCTACTCCTCCCACTGCAGGGGGATCAACTTTCTGTTGCCCCGGTAAAGACCACCCATTACATCTACACCTGCCGGGCGACTCACTACCACGACACATACATGAGGCGTTTTGATCTCCTTGATCAAGCTGTTGCAGACATTCACGCTGATTTATCTGCAACCAACACATCCATTCAGCAATTGACACAAACAGTACAAAATATTCATTTTGAGTTTATGCAGTTCTTGCAGTGTTGGACCCCTCGCGGTCAACCTCCGCCTCATCCTCCCACCACTCAGTAGGCCTCTCTGAGCATCGATGACAATGCTTAATCTTAAGCTTGGGGAGGGGTCTTTGTATATTAGGTTCTAGTTTCCTCATGCATTTCATCAAAAACATTTCAAAAATCCAAAAAGATTTTGCTTTTCTTATTTTCATTTTTTAAGTGTATTCATTTCAAACCATCCAAATAAAATTACAAAAATATTTTAATTTTTTATCTTATTTTATTTCTTTGCATTTTGCATTTTTAATCACCAAAAATTACAAAAAAAAATTAATTTCAACTTATATATATATATATATATATATATATATATATATATATATATATATATATATATATATATATATATAATCGATACATCAAATCATAAAGGGTGCGAGTAGTTGACCACCTTGAAGTCCAAACAAAAAAAAATAAAAAAATAGAAATTAAATAACTCCTCACTTTGAATGTGTCTCGCACAAACAGAGAATGCTAGACCTGACGGTGTCATCTTCGTCGTGGGTTTGGTAACTCAAAAATAGAGGGTAGATGATTTTCTGTGTTGAGTTATGGAGTAAAGGAGGGTAAAACAGCTTTTAAAAATACCGCGCTCTTTAAAACTCGATATTTCACGCCAACTCTTGTTTGAAATGACCGAACAACCATCTTTAGAATCACTTTTGGGTAGACCTCTTGAAGGGAGATTTTGTTGCATCCACCTGTTCACACATCGTCTGAAGTATTGAAGACTTGGTTGGCCATTACACCTAATCGGGCCAAAATCTATACAAGCAAATGATTCAAGAACCAATAAAGCTACAACAGAAGAAAGAATCCACAAGCCAAGTCTTACACCAAAGAGATTCAGAAGCAAAGCAAGTCAAATAAAAAGAAATCAATCT